AACTATTAAACTCTAGTCTATTTCATAACAGATTGGATTTCCACATAATTTTTTATGATTTAATAGGTCATGCCACAATTATTAAAGACCTATTATGTGTTTATTTAGTCATATATCCTAAAAAATTACTACTGCTATTGGGCTAGAAAAAGTTTTAGTCTTATTTTTGTATGATTCTTTTGTAGTGACTACCGTTAAGCAAATATCATTTCGGAATAGAATTATTTACTAAGTCAACCTACCATCTTCTAAAAAAAAATAGTTTTTTTTTCCTAAATTTATGTGTCCTGTTGTTAATATAAAATGTTATTGATATTTTTTTTTTCTCTTTTACAACAACGAATAGAGGTCAAATTTTAATGAGTATATCAGTTGATGTTAACGGGAATAAAATTGTTTATAATATTGAGCCGAAAAATGCCTTTTTTATATTAACATTACATTAAAATGAATTTTGCTTGAATTGTTGTCTTGTTTATTTGTATTTTATCTCTTTAAGCACTTTCTCTTTCACATAAATTACTTTCTGCCATGCCAATTTTTTTTATGTTAGTTAAAATTACTCTTCTTTTTTTAATTAAAGTTAACCTTTTTGTATTTCTAAAGTCTATAAAATATCAACAAGAATTCATGACTTACAATCAATTAATACAAACTTATTGTGGGTATAAATTTTAAAATAACTATTACAAAAAATTAGATTACAATAAAATTTGTTCACACCATCGCTGGATTCATTTTTATTAGTTATAGTTATAAAATGAGATGGGTTTTGTGTACGCTTATCGAAGAAATATGGTTTAGAAATATAAAATAATTAAAAATAAAAATTATAATAATTAAATTAAAAAAAATGAAACACACCTTTTCTAAAATTACTCTTAAATAATTTAATTCCTTTTATGAAAAAAAAAACAAAGCAATGTAAATATTCATATTTAAGACATTCAACATTAATAGTAGCGAATATGATCAGGTGATTATAAGTTATTTAGTAATTATCGTCAAATAACATTCACCATCTTCTTTGACACAGTCAAAAGAGCTAAACTATTATCTGGATAATAGGAATGAAAATGACAGTTTTTTTTAAAAGAAATGATTTATTAAGAAAAAGAATTACATGTATTTTTGTATCCAAAATTTTAATAGAATAAATTTACAAGTTTTCTAATTTATATACTGATCAATATTTTTGTCTTTAGACTTATTTAGATTTAATGATTCAGTAAGAAAAATAAAATGAGAAAGAATTACTATATTGTGTAGTATGGTATATTATTGTGAGTCATATTTTCCAAGTTTTATTTATTTTTGTCATTCTTATTAAATAGCACTTAATTCTAATTAAGTTTGAAAGTGATATTTAAAATTGTGCATTGTATGATTTGTGAGTGGGTTACTGTTGTAAATGGTTTTCCTGTTATTAATTGGTGCAGATTCCATATGGGGAGACAACCACTAATAATTATAGCAAATGCAGAGCTGTGCAAAGAAGCTGGAATTAAGAAATTCAAAGATATTTCAAACAGAAGTATTCCATCACCAATATCTGCTTCTCCTCTTCACCAGAAGGGTCTCTTCTTCAGCAGGTATGCAAATTTTCTTCCACTCACATTTTCAACAATACTAATCTTATTCCTGCACTTTCTGTTTATACATATTACTCTCTTTTTTTTCACTTACTTTCTCTTATTTTGATGAAGAAATGCAAATTAATTTTACATCATTTGATTATCATTTGACAAGTTTTATACAAGTAAAATGGTGTATATATATTTTTTTAAAAAGAGAGTAAATATAATGGAAAATAATATCAAATAGGTGAAAGAAAAAAATATCATTTTTTTTCCAATATGATGAACCCTTAGAATTTCTAGGTTTTTTTTACTCGGAATTTCTGTAAAAATAGCTTATATAACATTAGAAAAGTTTATTTATTAAAAAACCATTAAAAAAAATGCACTTTTGTGGATCTACACAAACTCCAACAATTATGTCCAATGCTTTGTGGGCATGTGATATAAAGAAGTCAAAATATTTTTATAAACTTTTTGTAATATTATTAGTGGAAACACGTGGGTAGGATATGTGTGTCTATTTCTTTTAAGTGAAAAATTATTAAACTATAAAAGAATTTCTATTAAAAATAATTATAACAAATAATTTTTATTATTGCATAGTTCTTTTATAAATATTGATTTAAATTTCAAAAATTAGTTATTAAAAGAATAAAATGATAAAATAACCCTTTTAATTTATAAAATAATTAAATTTAAAAAATAATCATTTAAAGAATAAAAACAGAAATGTCACTATTTTAATTTAAAATAACGGTTATTTAAGGAGTAAAATTTATATATATACACACGAAAAAATAATTTATCTCTATATATAAATATAGAAGTATATATTATTTAACTTTTCTTTTTTTTATTATGGTGCTTATTTTATCTTATATTAATTTGCCTTTTCTATTTTATCTGTTAAAAAAAATATAACTTGTCACACAAACTAAAATTATAGCAATGAAAATCTTAATTTTGTAAGAATTGCGGAACTGAATAAATTGATAAAATGACTTAATGAACAAATAATTACTCAACTGATCCCTTAAATCAATAGTTGAACCCTGCATAAGATTTTTTGACTGAATACCAAATCGTCCTACAAAAGTTGAACCATTTCATGAATTGACAATTAAAATTTGAAGGAACAAATGACTGTAAAATGCATTAACAACGGCTGTTAATATGTTTTGGAGATTGCTTACCAAGAGAAATAATTAAGGACAAGAGTGTTTGATTCCATATAAAGAATTTTATTTATTTGACTTTAGTTTTGTTATACGATAATAGCTAGATTAAGGTTGTCATGGTTAATTATTTTTTTGATCAGAAATTTATATGTTGATGTTGTGAAGTGAGATTTAGATTGTGCATGTTACAGACAAGTGAGTGACGTGAAATTTGAATGGTTGTGCGTAAAACTGTAGAAGTCATTTGTTTAGAGTATGGTTCTGTAGTAGTGCACTGAGTTGAATATAATTTTCTTTCTCTTGTGTAATGATTAAGGTGAAATGATCATAGGTTAAAAGCTTAGTGCTTCTGAGAAACTGTTGTAATTATAGTGAAGCATCTAAAATCTAAAGTGTGTTGGAACTTGGTGGGCAGGGACTCACAATGGTCTACCATGCGAAACACTATACTATCGATCTACCAACCATCACACTTATCCGGATTAGTGCCACTGATGCAGTCTTTCATAGAATCTGCCACTGAAAACCTTGACTCTGAAAAAGAAGACATTGTTTTTTCCAACTTGTCCCTCAGACTTGCAACTGATGTGATTGGGCAGGCAGCATTTGGTGTGAACTTTGGTCTTTCTAGACCCAATTCAGTTTGTGATTCTATCAAGAGTGTTGACAGTGACCATGCAACTCCTGCTAATGACAATGAAGTATCCGATTTCATCAACCAGCACATATACTCCACTACACAACTCAAGATGGACTTGTCTGGTTCCTTCTCCATTATATTGGGTCTGCTTTTGCCAATACTTCAAGAGCCGTTTAGGCAGATTCTGAAGAGAATTCCAGGAACCATGGACTGGAAGATTGAGCGTACAAACCAAAAACTAAGTGGCCGTCTTGATGAGATTGTAGAAAAAAAAATGAAAGATAAGACCCCAAGTTCAAAGGATTTCTTGTCACTCATACTTAATGCCAGAGAAACAAAAGCAGTTTCAGAGAATGTCTTCACACCAGACTACATCAACGCAGTTACTTACGAGCATCTGCTTGCTGGTTCGGCAACCACCTCCTTTACCTTGTCTTCTGTTATCTATTTGGTTGCTGGACATCCTCAAGTTGAGAAAAAATTGCTTCATGAGATAGATGCCTTTGGTCCTGTTGATAAGATTCCGACTTCTCAAGATCTTCGTGACAACTTCCCTTATCTCGATCAGGTTTGTTAAACCAGACACAAAATCTCATACAAGTTTGAATTTGATAACTTTTGTTACCATTTTTTAATGCACTCTTCTGCTAATTCAAATTCAACAAATATTTAATATATTATACCTTTGTGTGCTTTACCTAAAATAGGTGATCAAAGAGGCAATGAGATTTTACACTGTATCTCCATTAGTTGCTAGAGAAACATCAAATGAAGTGGAGATTGGAGGCTATCTTCTCCCAAAGGTTCATAAAATATTCATTTTATTTTTCAAATTTTTTCTTTTCCGAAAAGTGTTTGATGAAAAGTTTGTCTTGTTATGCACACAAATAAACTGTTTGTTTTGGTATACATTCTCTTCACAAATCTCAGTCATAAAATTAACTGTTTTATCTGTGCCACTGTTGAATCTAGTTTGGTATAAGTAGAGGACTTGGGTGTGGTTAGCACTTGGAGTTGTGGCAAAAGATCCCAAGGACTTTCCAGAGCCAGAAAAGTTCAAACCAGAGAGGTTTGACCCCAACTGTGAAGAAATGAAACGAAGGCATCCTTATGCTTTTATACCATTTGGAATTGGTCCTCGAGCATGCATTGGCAAACAATTTTCCCTACAAGAGATCAAGCTTTCTCTCATTCATTTATATCGGAAATACTTGTTTCGGCATTCACCAAATATGGAAAACCCCTTGGAACTCCAGTATGGGATAGTCCTCAACTTCAAGCATGGGGTCAAGCTCAGAGCCATAAAAAGAACACAAAGTTACTAAGAAAACCGATAAGATCTTTCATATACTCTACACTGCAGAGTTCAGATGATTTTATTATCTTATAAATGTTAAAGTCTGCTAAAATCCAAATATTAGCAAATGTTACCTTACGTAGAATTTCAGCCTATAGCTTGTGTAATAGAATACCTGAAACATGTTATGAAGTTTATCAAAATTCCGTGTTTTTTAATAAATATCAGCTGGGCACACTTCCTACAAGATTCTGGATGGCATTATCTTTTGTGGGAAATATTCTTTAACAAAAATCAGAGGACAGTGAGTAATATCAATACCCATAAATGAACAATTGTACAGATGGAGACCCCTCATAAGTATTATCAAACATAAGCTACTTCTACCTAGCTAATGCAATTTAAATTGCATGGAACAACAAGATGTTGAACTTCTTGGGAAAAATAATGACAAAATACACAAAAATGTTGAGCTTCCACCACATTCTCATACCATGTAAACTGGGCCATTTCCCTTTCACCGTAGCCTCACCGAGCTCTTGTCCAAGTGAAGTGGCCTAGAAAGGTTGATTGAAGGGTCAGAAGCTGTAGTGCTTTTGGAATCTCCATTGGAGAAAACCGCTGCCCTCTTGAGAAATTGAAACTCATCCATGGACTGTTGCCTTTGAGCTCTATTATACACATGATTACTACTTGTCTTTAGCTTTGCCTTTGTGGACTGAGTCAGGTTCATGTAATTAGGCCTAGCAACAGCATTACCATTACTGTCATCAGTCCTGTCACAAGTGTTCCCAGACATTGGTGTTGTAGATGTACAAATGGAAGATGATGCAGAACTCTCATCATATCGAAACTCAGAACTTGGACTTGAGGATGAACGAGTAGCTTGGCCAAAATGGGGAGGCCTAGCAGAAACCCTTGTTGTCATGTTGTTCTTCTTGACTTTGACCAAACATGATTTGGAATTAGAGTTCACAAAGGATTCTTCAAACTTCTTTGCATGTGGGGTTTTATCTAACAAGCCTTCAGCCTGAGATTGCTCCATCAATCTACTCTCCCAAGGCTTGGCTGCCATCCAACGCTCCAACCAAGTCCACCCCCAGTTAGCTTTGTTAATCTCATGGCTCTTCAGAGAGGAAACAGAGCCAGTAGTTCGTGAATTATAACTTGAGGTTGATCTGCATTGCTGGAATACATATACACAATTTTAAACAACTTTTTAAGAAAGGACATTAAAAAGCAGCATAGTTTCAACTTTGTTATTGCTTGTTAAGGGAATCAAGTTGAAATACTTGTTATCATGATTTTAAGAAAATATTTATACATATGGCGTCAAAACAACTCAGTAGCTTTTAATTTAGATAAATAGATTATGTAAATTTTACCACAAGCTCACTGCAACAATAGAAACATCCAAAAATACATCATAATTATTTCAAAATCAATTATAACCGGAACAAAAATGTTCATTTTTTTTTTCAAACTCACTCGATGAAACTCGGTTGCACTTACCTTTTGAGCAAGAGAGTAAGCAATTGCTCTTTCCCTTTTGAAAGCTCCTTCTTGCCTCATCTGAATCTTTGCTTTAACATCTTCCACAGTTCCTCTGCTGTCACACCATCCTTCCTGCACATTCCGTTAGACACTACACCACATCAACGAAACAGAAACACGAGCTTGCATGAGTGAGTTATGATACCTCAGCTTGCTTCAAAAGTTCAAGCTTACTGCGCCTTTCATTAAGCATGTTCTGCACAGCTTGCCCCTCTATGGACATTCTCACACGACGAGCTCTTACACGGGCCTGAACCCGAACCAAGGCCTGCATACACCTAAGTGTCACCGCAGCTTGTTTCCTCACCTGTCTCCCCCGAACAAGAGCTTGAATCCTCACCACTCCTTTCAATGCCCTCAAAGCCCTTCTTGCCTACAATCATAACCACGCAACTATCAACAACAAATAATCTCTCCCATTCCATTAATGATCCACATATTCCAATGTCATGGTCAAAACAGTTTATATAAACATAGCAGGTTTTGAAGTTGAGTTAGACAGAAATCTACTAATTAGTCAATGCAGTATCTTATTGAAAAGCGGTAAAGATGATTAGAATGAAGATCCATACCAAGAAGGCACGGAAGGCAGTTTGGATTCTTATGGCGGCCCATTCTTGCTTGACGAGTCTGAAATCCTTAGGTGGTGCTCGAACCACAGCGGCTACTGCGGCCGTGTAAGCATCTGCTGCTACAACAGGTGGAGAATCAGACCCTTCAGAAGCTGCTTTGTGGTGGTTTCCTTTGATAGCCTTCCAAGAACCCACATCCCCAGAAGAACTCCTCCATAGCCTCCACTTCTTGCTCTTACCACCCTCTTTCACCTACACACAAGCCAAACCAGTCATGAAAAAAGAGTAGAGTTTAGATGGACTCATGCACTTTGAAGTGTATGGAAGTAACCGACTAACATGTTCGTCCTTGTCTGGTTTCTTGAGTCCGATTAAAGCCTTCACCCATTTTCCTGATGCACCCATGATGAAGCAGGTGTTGAGTTTAGCTTTGCTTCTTTGAAGGAAGCTGGTAAGCTGGTGTCTGTCAAATGAGCTCAAACAAAAGCCAAAGTTTTGTTTTGTTTTGTTAAACGTAACTGAGTTACAGCGTAGAATGTCGGAGAGAGAGAGAGAGAGAGGGTCGTGAAGGGATGTAACGTTGGGAGATTTGAAATTCAAAACGTGGAACGGACAAAGTGGGGGTTGACAATGTTGGTCCCGCATGATGAAGGAATCGTTTGATGTTGCATTGGAACAGGGCGCCACGTCACGTTGAGGTTCAGGGTTTGAGGTGGGTGGGGCCCACTGACTTTGTTGGGAGACATTTGTTGTGACCTATATATATATATATATATATATTAATTTTATATTTTTAATTATTATTTTTAATTTTAGTAATGATTTTTAAAAATTTAAATAATTTCTTATAATAAAATATTATTTACACAGCATTATTTATAATATTTTTATTTTAATAAATAAAAATTATTTTATTCATAATTATATATCTTTTATTTTTCAACTTTATCATTTTTAATTATTACTTTTAAAATTTAAATAATTTATAAATATTTAAAAATACACTTACAGGCGCGATTGTTAATAAAGGCATAAAAAGGTACGAAGCCTTTGGTGTGTAGTGTAGTACCTGAAAAGGGTTACGAAGTCAGAAGTAAGTAAAGTGTTACCAAAAGCCTTTTAGCATATTTCTCTTATTACTTTTTCTTTATTTTCTTATTTTGAATTTTTTAAGATAAAATATAAAAATTACACTGAATAAAACTTTCTAAAGACACTAAATAGAACAGTATTTTAAATTGGTAAATAAAAATAATAATTATAAAAAAATAAAAGTTAAACTTGATTAATACTAATGAATTAATCTAGATAAAAATATTAAAGTTTTTAATGAGAATTTAACGATTAAAGTGAATAGATAAATAAATAAAAGGGTGGGACATCCGGCGAAATGCTAGACGAGAGGGATCTTTCTTGCAAACAAACAAAGAGTTAGTGCAAAAGAGATCTGACACTTTGTTATGTCAAGGGCCCTTCATCTCCGTCTTCTTTTCTCATAACTTTTTTCCTGTTAAGTGCAGCAGAAAACAACCTTACAGACGAGATTAATTACCTTACGTTCCTGTCACGTTTATTAAACTCATCACTATGATATTAGAAGTGTACTAAGTTTAATTTCATTCACAAAAAAGGTGAGGTTATATATATATATATATATATATATATTTTAAATTGTTTTCAGTTTTTAGTTTAGGTGAGACTCTTAACACATTTTTTGTAAGATAGTATATATATCTTAATCATAAAATTATATATTAACAGATAGTTCTATAACAATTGGAACAATTGATTCAAGCATAGTCAAAATTTTATTAAGATAAATTTTAACTTATTAAAGAGATAAACTTTTAAATTTCACTTGACTAAAATAAAAATAAGGTTAAGTTTAAATTTATTATAACGAAATTTATTATTTATTAAATTTATTATTTAACCTGATATTAATTCATCACTAAATCATCTATTAGTGTCTTATATATATATATATATATATATATATATATATATATATATATATTATTATATAGTGAAGAAGATAAGTTGAGAAAAAATAAAATTAATTTAAATATATATAAAAGTGCAAACTTTAAATTTAGATATTGTAATTTTTTTACTTATTTATTTTATGTTCCAATTATTTTCTAAGAATCTCATTTAATTTTGAGATAATCATATTGTTTTGCTTATAAATGTAGACACTTCATTGAACATTTCATTAATAAAAAATTTTAAAAAAATTATTAATAATGTTTGAGAAAGAAGAGGATAATCAGAAAAATAAATATCAATAAAATCTGAGTTGAATCTTACATTAGAAAAAATTTCAATAGAAAAACTATAATCTACTTAAATAAGTTGGGGGGTCATAAACACTAACTATCACCTTTGATACTATAAATGACTATTTAGAGATTAAATTTAATATAAGGACAAATAAGACCTATAAAACGTAAATTCAATTTAATAAAACTTTGATATAGGTGTGAACTTAAAACCTAAAGATAAAGAGATTTTTGAGTCATGTAGCAATTTTGTTATTACTTGGATTTTCATATATTAATATCGTTTTAAAGGGAGTTTGGATTTTTATGTTTTGTCTTTGTTGTTTAGTGATGAGGACCATTCGACTGGATTGTGCAGAGAGGAGCGAGAAGTTGGAGAAATAAAGTAGTAGCAGTTGAAAATCAGAGAAAATGTAAAACCAGGCTTCTACTTTTTTTTTATGGCATTAGCAGGGATTTGGAAATCCGATAAGCAGTAATTTCCATCCTCTGTTTTTTGGAGAACAGTGAAGCATCGATTCACAGGAATCCAAAGACAAAACCAGAAACAACTCAAATAAACTATAATAAAATGCTGCCTTCACTCTCTTTCATTGCCTGCTTAAAGTTGAAAGCCAAATTTGAACCTTTGGGGGTGACTTCCAACACTGCATAATTTACTCCACAAATTAATTACTTTTTCTTCTTTTTACAAATTTTGAGGTTCAATTTGGTGGGAATCTTAAAATTTAAACTTCAACTTTTTTATAATTGAATAATATTATCTCTCATTGGTGTTGATCTGTTAGTAGGCTGTATTTTGATGATAAGGTTTTCTGAAGTTAACTTTAAATTAATCTGATTTTATAAAATTGATTTTAAGTGAATATGAATATGTAGTAACGTGATTTTTTTAAATAATAGTAAACTTTTTTTAAAAAAAAGTGGTTTTAACATATCTGAAAACTTCTGATTTTTAAATTGTTTTCGAAGATGTAATTGTAAAACAAATATTTGAATATAAGTTTATGCAACATATATTTTTATTAAGTTAAATGTAACTCAAATCTGAAATTTACGAGTGTTTTTAATGCATTGTGAAATATAACGAGTAATGAAAACACCATTGAACTTGTTTTACATGTAAAATGAAAATTTAAATATATTTATAACTTATAAAAATAGTTTGGTGCCGCAAGTTGGTCTAATAATTTGAAATAATATGTTTTGGTTTTTAATTTGAGTCAATTCATTTTAATATTTGGTTTAAATAAGCTTGTTTCAATTACTATCTTCGTTGACTTATTTTGATTTTTGATCTATTTTAAGTTTTAGCTTGAGTTAGTTTGTATGAACTTCTGGTTTAATGATTTTCTTTACACTCACATGTCAAATGTGTATTCAAGTATATTTACAACTTATAACATAGTTTGGCTTGAGTCAGCCTTGTCTTGCAATTTGGGTTTTGGTTTTTAATTTGGGTAGAACTCATTTTGACATTTGGTCTAGACTACTCGTCTTGACCATCAACCTGCTTTAATTTATTTTGACCTTACCTTTTTTGAGTTTTGGCTTGAATTAATTCATTTTGACTTTCCGTTTAATGATCTTATTTCAACTTTTGGTCTAACCAACTTAGAGACCTTTGCCTTAGTCTCGCTCAAAAACAACTCTTGTCGGGTCAACTCGATTCAACCTTTGATTTAGATTGACTTAACTCAAATTTTAGTTCAAATGAACTCAATTCAACCTTTAAGCCAAAACAAATAAGTTTGACCTTTAACTCAGATTGAAAATATTATTTTTAAAAGTTAATTAAAGTTTTATAATCACATCAAACTCACTTTAATTTTAACCTTAACCCACTTATAGGCCATAAATCAAATTGACATCTCTATCTATAAGTTTTCAACAATAATTTATTAAATAATTAGGTATAAAAGTTATTCCTTCTACTACGTTATAATAGTTATTTAAGATTTTCTTTTCCACAAAATTAAGGAAAAAGAGTTTAACTTTTATTTTTAATATGATTTTACGTTGATTATTTATCATATTTCTTCTCGTATTATTAATTTAATGTATGTTTAGTTGTTGTTGCATTTTTTTTTCTCTTTATGGTCTTAAAACCTTTTTCATATTAGTTAAATGAAGGGTAGAATAGAGGAAAAAAACAGTATTTTAAAATTAAAATATGAAAGTAAATCGAAGAAACTACAAGTAAAAAGAAACAAAGGAAATTAAAATCTTCTTAAAAAGTATTTATAAAGCTTTTCCTTATGGCATAACCAGCATTCTAAAAAAGATAGTATTAAATATTGAAAACTATACACTCTTAACCTGCATTAAGATGATTTCAACTAATTCTCTCCCAATAAAAATTTCTTTATTTTTATTGCCATTAAATTTATCCATACTTTGCACATTATTCGCCATTGGCAGTATTTTTCAAATTAATTATCTCTTCTTCTCCTAAGTTATTTCCCACTTTATTATTGAGATAAAATTTAAATTTATCAGATAATAAATACTTAATAAACTACCTATAAAATTTATTCTAACTCTTGATTCAAACTGATATTTAGGATGATTTGTTTCTAAAAGGGATTTAAAGACATAACAGAATTTAAAAAAAAAATAGTGTTGTGCAGTGGTCAACATTCGTCGGATCCATAGTCAAACAAAAGTTTATAAAAACATTATTATATGATGAAAGAACAACGAAAAGTAAGAGACAGATGGTCAACGAACGAGGTGAGTCGCTTTTCTTGTTTTCCATTTTGAAACTGTTGTTTCCAAACCTTTCATTGAAACAAAACAAATAATAAAAGCAAGCTTACCTATTAAAATATTGCATATTCCAAAACTATCGAAACACGTTCATCTTCATTTTAAAAAAAGTAGTATCGTTGGATAAGGCAAAATAAATTTTAACCCAAAAAAGTACGCGTCTAAATATTTTGGATGATTTATAATTAGTTATATCAATTAATTTTATTCGACTTTAAATCAAATGAACCATTTATCATAAACACAATTCACGTTAAATGGAAAAAACTCAAAAGTAGAAAAATGGCTCAACCACGAGGACACATCTATAAGTAAAGAAAACGTTTTAATTAATAGTAGACATATTTTGAATTTTCCACACCTACGTTTTTTCAACATTGTCTCTTTTATTAAATAATTTTTTAATTTAGAAAATGTTATCTTCTCTGTCATTTTTCTCTTTCTGCCCAAACAGAACATTATTGTTCAAAATATAGCACGTTGTCAGACTAGCTCCCGTGACCTTATCTCCCCCAAACATAATATTACATTATCCCAAATATTCAGACTGTAAATAAGTAAATAAGTGCTACCTCGTGATATGTTAAAGCCATAAGTATGTTGTAGCATGTCTACTTAAATATATTCCTAGCATTGCAGTCATCTAATATCATACCCGGTGAAAATCCGTCAAATGGTGACGATGATTCTTGTGATTAACAAGATTGTTAAAATAAAAACTCAAGTGATCCCTGGTTACTGATATGGATTTGACGAACAAGAGTTTGTTTTCATTCACAACATCTCTTAGAAATTTCAAGGGGAAATAACTACCTTTGTATTGCATCCATAGTTCGTATGAGTCTATACAAATTTTAAGGACAAGGAAAAAATGAGTAGCATAAATATGGAACTCTCAAGATATGACAAACAAAATTGGACATTAGTTAATTTAATCGGTATATCTGTGAATATGCAGTAATACTCAGTTAGAGATATTCCTGTAAAATTAGTTCAGTAAGAAGGTAACATCGTAACTTGTTGCCGTTAAGGGTGAGCATTGAGCAATCATGCTGCCGAAACTGATCGAGACTTTTGCTGTTGAGGTGGTGGTATGCCAAGCCAAGACTTCATCATGTCGTATGTGGTGAAACTAATTGCAGCCGAAGGAACAATCTGTGAACAGAGCAAGTAATGTTTTACATATAGAAGCAAAAAGAAAGCACAGATGACATGCCAATGTTAAAGCTGATATTAACAATTTTAAGGAATCGGCCACAGTTATGGCTCGTGACTATTTTTAAGGGTGTTTTTAATATAGACATGTTTTTCACTGTTTATGAAATGAATGCATGTGTAGTTACTGAAGCAGGATAAAGAGCCTTTATAACTACCACGATTCACCAACTATTATTTTCAGTCCTTAGGTTGTTGGTCAACAGAAAAATTGGTGTACAACAGGATTAGTCACATGGTTTACTGTCCAATGTAATACAGTGGCATCAAATTCCATATCTAGTTTATTCAACTCCAAGAAAACCAATGCTAACAAAGATAAATCCCAGACAACAGAACGAATGCAAAAACAAATAGCATTTCTTTTACAGACAAGGCAAATAATATAAAAGATTAAACATGCATAAACTTGGGTATGATAAGGTGAGCATTACCCTTATATAGTTAATGCTTACGCCATGAAAGAGCTGCCTCCATCCTTGATTACGAACAATCGTCCTAAGTCCATCAATGGTATTTTTATATCTGACATTCTCATGAGTAGCGTTCTGCAGGCTGCCAACCTGTACAAACAAATAGAAGATTATGAGTAAAAGCTTAAACAAGGGAAATGTGCCAATACTATATGGTTGTAAAACTTGAATACGACCTAAAGAGGCTCAAACATCAAATTTTATACACGGCAAAAAGATTGCAGAGCTAATTAGCTAGACACCCATCTCATCATCACCAGAAAAGGGGAAAATGTTTATAAACCTGAGCTAGACAAAAAGTCATGCTTCAAATACCTGCATCTGTCTCTTGACAACATCTAAAGGGTATGTTAAAGTCTGCCCAAACAATCCAGCTAGAGCTCCACAAGAAAGACGCATCACAATGGACTTTTGATGTTCTTCTGGAAGGTAAGTCTTCAGTTTTTCATACATGTAGAACTTTAAACCAGCATATGGAAGAATTCCAGTAAGGGTTGGTCCTAAGGAAGAGAAAAAGGTGAGGTTTCTCATCATATGTAATGGAAAAAATTTAGGCAGTAAAATACAAGATAATAGCTAATATATGTTGTCAGAAAACATTATCTCCACAACATGTATTCCAACAGTATTCTCCACCACAATAACCAATTACGGCTGTCTTGGTAGATCCTGTAAGCTGCAACATACATACATACCTGCACCCCTATAAAGTCCACGGGCTCCGCCTTCCTTATAGACACTTGTGAGCACACCTTTAATGCCATTATGTGTAGGTTGAGCTCCTCTCATACCATCTTTGATACCTCCTCTTGTGTCCACCACCTATAAAAATTTAAACCACAGAAATACTAAACATTATTAGATTGTACACTAGAAGCAATTATTTCCTCATAAACTATCCCCTAGTCACTAAAGCTAATCTTTATCAATTTTAATTGACTAGGGTCATTATGTCTATTTCAACATTAAGGCATTAGCCTTCATACTTTCCTAGGAATTACCATAACTCATTAGGGATGGCACCGTTTAAGTCTCTTTTAACCAATTATAATTTAAAAAAAAAAATATGAAGAAAAAGACTACAGAGTCATTTATACTTGTACATACAACTATATTAAATAAGGGACACTTTTATCATTTTCAACATACAAGGACCTTGCAGGCGTGAGAGAATGGTCTTGTCCCTGATCACAAATATGCTTTGAGGGGGAATCTCCAAACTTGCAGCCCAAATGAAGCAATCCCCACGAAAATCCCCAAATGATAGGAAAATTTGCCGTCCCATTGACTATGCAAATTGGAATCAAGATACCACGATTCATCAAATCACCCTGAAGTATTCTATGAACACCACAAAAGTTTTTATGTCTCTCTATGAAACCGGTGGATGTAATTCTAATATAATATATTCTTCATCTATCTTTTTCCCTGGTGGTACAACCTTTCTTANTAATATGTTTTGGTTTTTAATTTGAGTCAATTCATTTTAATATTTGGTTTAAATAAGCTTGTTTCAATTACTATCTTCGTTGACTTATTTTGATTTTTGATCTATTTTAAGTTTTAGCTTGAGTTAGTTTGTATGAACTTCTGGTTTAATGATTTTCTTTACACTCACATGTCAAATGTGTATTCAAGTATATTTACAACTTATAACATAGTTTGGCTTGAGTCAGCCTCGTCTTGCAATTTGGGTTTTGGTTTTTAATTTGGGTAGAACTCATTTTGACATTTGGTCTAGACTACTCGTCTTGACCATCAACCTGCTTTAATTTATTTTGACCTTACCTTTTTTGAGTTTTGGCTTGAATTAATTCATTTTGACTTTCCGTTTAATGATCTTATTTCAACTTTTGGTCTAACCAACTTAGAGACCTTTGCCTTAGTCTCGCTCAAAAACAACTCTTGTCGGGTCAACTCGATTCAACCTTTGATTTAGATTGACTTAACTCAAATTTTAGTTCAAATGAACTCAATTCAACCTTTAAGCCAAAACAAATAAGTTTGACCTTTAACTCAGATTGAAAATATTATTTTTAAAAGTTAATTAAAGTTTTATAATCACATCAAACTCACTTTAATTTTAACCTTAACCCACTTATAGGCCATAAATCAAATTGACATCTCTATCTATAAGTTTTCAACAATAATTTATTAAATAATTAGGTATAAAAGTTATTCCTTCTACTACGTTATAATAGTTATTTAAGATTTTCTTTTCCACAAAATTAAGGAAAAAGAGTTTAACTTTTATTTTTAATATGATTTTACGTTGATTATTTATCATATTTCTTCTCGTATTATTAATTTAATGTATGTTTAGTTGTTGTTGCATTTTTTTTTCTCTTTATGGTCTTAAAACCTTTTTCATATTAGTTAAATGAAGGGTAGAATAGAGGAAAAAAACAGTATTTTAAAATTAAAATATGAAAGTAAATCGAAGAAACTACAAGTAAAAAGAAACAAAGGAAATTAAAATCTTCTTAAAAAGTATTTATAAAGCTTTTCCTTATGGCATAACCAGCATTCTAAAAAAGATAGTATTAAATATTGAAAACTATACACTCTTAACCTGCATTAAGATGATTTCAACTAATTCTCTCCCAATAAAAATTTCTTTATTTTTATTGCCATTAAATTTATCCATACTTTGCACATTATTCGCCATTGGCAGTATTTTTCAAATTAATTATCTCTTCTTCTCCTAAGTTATTTCCCACTTTATTATTGAGATAAAATTTAAATTTATCAGATAATAAATACTTAATAAACTACCTATAAAATTTATTCTAACTCTTGATTCAAACTGATATTTAGGATGATTTGTTTCTAAAAGGGATTTAAAGACATAACAGAATTTAAAAAAAAAATAGTGTTGTGCAGTGGTCAACATTCGTCGGATCCATAGTCAAACAAAAGTTTATAAAAACATTATTATATGATGAAAGAACAACGAAAAGTAAGAGACAGATGGTCAACGAACGAGGTGAGTCGCTTTTCTTGTTTTCCATTTTGAAACTGTTGTTTCCAAACCTTTCATTGAAACAAAACAAATAATAAAAGCAAGCTTACCTATTAAAATATTGCATATTCCAAAACTATCGAAACACGTTCATCTTCATTTTAAAAAAAGTAGTATCGTTGGATAAGGCAAAATAAATTTTAACCCAAAAAAGTACGCGTCTAAATATTTTGGATGATTTATAATTAGTTATATCAATTAATTTTATTCGACTTTAAATCAAATGAACCATTTATCATAAACACAATTCACGTTAAATGGAAAAAACTCAAAAGTAGAAAAATGGCTCAACCACGAGGACACATCTATAAGTAAAGAAAACGTTTTAATTAATAGTAGACATATTTTGAATTTTCCACACCTACGTTTTTTCAACATTGTCTCTTTTATTAAATAATTTTTTAATTTAGAAAATGTTATCTTCTCTGTCATTTTTCTCTTTCTGCCCAAACAGAACATTATTGTTCAAAATATAGCACGTTGTCAGACTAGCTCCCGTGACCTTATCTCCCCCAAACATAATATTACATTATCCCAAATATTCAGACTGTAAATAAGTAAATAAGTGCTACCTCGTGATATGTTAAAGCCATAAGTATGTTGTAGCATGTCTACTTAAATATATTCCTAGCATTGCAGTCATCTAATATCATACCCGGTGAAAATCCGTCAAATGGTGACGATGATTCTTGTGATTAACAAGATTGTTAAAATAAAAACTCAAGTGATCCCTGGTTACTGATATGGATTTGACGAACAAGAGTTTGTTTTCATTCACAACATCTCTTAGAAATTTCAAGGGGAAATAACTACCTTTGTATTGCATCCATAGTTCGTATGAGTCTATACAAATTTTAAGGACAAGGAAAAAATGAGTAGCATAAATATGGAACTCTCAAGATATGACAAACAAAATTGGACATTAGTTAATTTAATCGGTATATCTGTGAATATGCAGTAATACTCAGTTAGAGATATTCCTGTAAAATTAGTTCAGTAAGAAGGTAACATCGTAACTTGTTGCCGTTAAGGGTGAGCATTGAGCAATCATGCTGCCGAAACTGATCGAGACTTTTGCTGTTGAGGTGGTGGTATGCCAAGCCAAGACTTCATCATGTCGTATGTGGTGAAACTAATTGCAGCCGAAGGAACAATCTGTGAACAGAGCAAGTAATGTTTTACATATAGAAGCAAAAAGAAAGCACAGATGACATGCCAATGTTAAAGCTGATATTAACAATTTTAAGGAATCGGCCACAGTTATGGCTCGTGACTATTTTTAAGGGTGTTTTTAATATAGACATGTTTTTCACTGTTTATGAAATGAATGCATGTGTAGTTACTGAAGCAGGATAAAGAGCCTTCATAACTACCACGACTCACCAACTATTATTTTCAGTCCTCAGGTTGTTGGTCAACAGAAAAATTGGTGTACAACAGGATTAGTCACATGGTTTACTGTCCAATGTAATACAGTGGCATCAAATTCCATATCTAGTTTATTCAACTCCAAGAAAACCAATGCTAACAAAGATAAATCCCAGACAACAGAACGAATGCAAAAACAAATAGCATTTCTTTTACAGACAAGGCAAATAATATAAAAGATTAAACATGCATAAACTTGGGTATGATAAGGTGAGCATTACCCTTATATAGTTAATGCTTACGCCATGAAAGAGCTGCCTCCATCCTTGATTACGAACAATCGTCCTAAGTCCATCAATGGTATTTTTATATCTGACATTCTCATGAGTAGCGTTCTGCAGGCTGCCAACCTGTACAAACAAATAGAAGATTATGAGTAAAAGCTTAAACAAGGGAAATGTGCCAATACTATATGGTTGTAAAACTTGAATACGACCTAAAGAGGCTCAAACATCAAATTTTATACACGGCAAAAAGATTGCAGAGCTAATTAGCTAGACACCCATCTCATCATCACCAGAAAAGGGGAAAATGTTTATAAACCTGAGCTAGACAAAAAGTCATGCTTCAAATACCTGCATCTGTCTCTTGACAACATCTAAAGGGTATGTTAAAGTCTGCCCAAACAATCCAGCTAGAGCTCCACAAGAAAGACGCATCACAATGGACTTTTGATGTTCTTCTGGAAGGTAAGTCTTCAGTTTTTCATACATGTAGAACTTTAAACCAGCATATGGAAGAATTCCAGTAAGGGTTGGTCCTAAGGAAGAGAAAAAGGTGAGGTTTCTCATCATATGTAATGGAAAAAATTTAGGCAGTAAAATACAAGATAATAGCTAATATATGTTGTCAGAAAACATTATCTCCACAACATGTATTCCAACAGTATTCTCCACCACAATAACCAATTACGGCTGTCTTGGTAGATCCTGTAAGCTGCAACATACATACATACCTGCACCCCTATAAAGTCCACGGGCTCCGCCTTCCTTATAGACACTTGTGAGCACACCTTTAATGCCATTATGTGTAGGTTGAGCTCCTCTCATACCATCTTTGATACCTCCTCTTGTGTCCACCACCTATAAAAATTTAAACCACAGAAATACTAAACATTATTAGATTGTACACTAGAAGCAATTATTTCCTCATAAACTATCCCCTAGTCACTAAAGCTAATCTTTATCAATTTTAATTGACTAGGGTCATTATGTCTATTTCAACATTAAGGCATTAGCCTTCATACTTTCCTAGGAATTACCATAACTCATTAGGGATGGCACCGTTTAAGTCTCTTTTAACCAATTATAATTTAAAAAAAAAAATATGAAGAAAAAGACTACAGAGTCATTTATACTTGTACATACAACTATATTAAATAAGGGACACTTTTATCATTTTCAACATACAAGGACCTTGCAGGCGGGAGAGAATGGTCTTGTCCCTGATCACAAATATGCTTTGAGGGGGAATCTCCAAACTTGCAGCCCAAATGAAGCAATCCCCACGAAAATCCCCAAATGATAGGAAAATTTGCCGTCCCATTGACTATGCAAATTGGAATCAAGATACCACGATTCATCAAATCACCCTGAAGTATTCTATGAACACCACAAAAGTTTTTATGTCTCTCTATGAAACCGGTGGATGTAATTCTAATATAATATATTCTTCATCTATCTTTTTCCCTGGTGGTACAACCTTTCTTAAACTTTAATTCAAGTTTTCACTAAATATGAAAAAAGAGAAATAATGGAATGGATAATAATGGTCTCTCAATAATTCCATCAAGTCTATTTCAAAGCTTCAAATGTTCGAATCAGATAACTACCTGGTAAGCAAGTTTGGTACGAGCAAGATCCAACGGGTAGGTACATACAACTGAAGTTCCCCCTGCAGCAGAGCCTGCTAAAAGATCAATACAAGGACCCGAACCTAACATTGGATAATTATTCAAGATCCAACTTTTGTAGCGCTCATATGTCATAAAATGCAAGGCTGCATATGGAACAATGCGAATAACACCAGCCCCATTTCCCCTGAAATCACCACATAAACAAGATTAACGATATATAATTTAAGCTGGAGAAAGCACCATGTTATGTAATCTTGAGTCTTACTTATATAATCCTTGAAAACCTTCCCTCTTGACTAATTTATTCAAAGATTGATACACCCCAAGAGAATGAAATCCAGGTGTCCTTGTCTGTAGATAAAATGAATAAAGGTTAAAAAGGAACATACACCCATTAAGAACTTTCTCACGAAGTAAAGATGGCAAAAGCAAAGTAACAACATCGTAAATGATGTACATCTAGCAAGTGACAACAAACATATAGCTTAAAACCAAAGTAAAACAAATATCCTTGAAGCAAGGGGCAGTAACCTATGAAAGTTAGTTGATGAGAGTAGAAATCAATGACTTCAAGACTCCAGCAAGAGGCACAAATCAAAGAGGATAATTTAGTTGAACCCTAGGCAACCCAAGACATAATATTATCCTCTCTTTACACATTTAAAAATCTTTCCTCCTTCCCTTATCTTCCTATTCTAGATCCAATATACCTCAGTTCCTTAGCACAAACTTACATTACATATTACTGTTGACTAGTATCATCATTATACTATAAGATATTTAAATCCATTATCATCAAACTTACAATGCGATCTGATCGTACAAGCTTAGAATCGTGTTTTCAGTTAAATAAGTGAAGAAAAAGAGAGAAGAGAAAGAGTGGTGAACCTGCCAAAGTATCTTGACTCGTTCGAGAGGTGCAACAGCGGTTTTAGAAAGCGCACCAGCAAAGCCTCCGGCAATTAGCTCCTTGACATACACAGGAACGCCATCAAAACTAGACTGTTTCCTCTGAATGGATGCGTTGTCCACGAAACCAGCAATGGTAGACCCTTGTGAAGAATCCATCGATTCCAAAAATAAAAAG